TTATTACCTGTAATTCTGTTTTTCTAGATTTTTTTTTTTTTTTTTTTTTTTTTTGGTACGCAGGCCTCTCACTGTTGTGGCCTCTCCCGTTGCGGAGCACAGGCTCCGGATGCGCAGGCTCAGCGGCCACGGCTCACGGGCCTAGCCGCTCCGCGGCATGTGGGATCTTCCCGGACCGGGGCACGAACCCGTGTCCCCTGCATCGGCAGGCGGACTCTCACCCACTGCACCACCAGGGAAGCCCTGTTTTTCTAGATTTTTGACTAATTTCTGAAACACGCTATCTTTCATATCTGAAATATAAGATGACAGCTTAAATGAGAACTTTTCACTATGTCATCATGGCTACTATTGTAAATTTTAGTGGGAAAAATAGATAGAGGTTGGTAAGTAAAATGTCATTCCACTGACATTCTCTTATGTTCTTAGTTTTACCACATTTAGTAGCTAAATCCATCACAGTCCATGGCAGGACAAATGGAAAAACCCTGCAGTAGATGTCTTTGTCACCATCCTAATCTCCTGCGGCACCAGACACTGAATTTAGAGTTCAACTATCACTGAGAATGGGAAATTCTAAATAAATAAATAAATTAGATTGAACTGCTTATCGAGTTCCAAGTTCTTTAAAAACCTTATCTTATTTAATCATCACTATTATTATTACCCCTAACATACAGAATAGAAACAAAGACTCGTGGATAGGTGAAAGTCACTCAAGTTTGCAAAAGGCTTAGTCAGGTCAGAATTCAACCCAAATTTGCCTAACACCAAAGCCCATGCTTTTATTTGTGCAATTCTCCCTTAGTTTGTTTGGTTCTATGTTATACCTAGCACTAAAGTAGAATTTAAACTCTTAGTTCTCTCTCCTGAAATTTTAGAAATTTTTTTCACTTATTTGATCCCAAAATAACAGCAATTTTTTCCACCCCCTAAACCGGTTTCCATTCTCCCTTTTCCCCTCCTCTCTTTTCATATACAAAGAAAGAACTCTGTCTTGTATTCAGACTTTTCTTTTCCTTCTTATTACTATTTCTATTAATGCTACAGGCACATTATTTCTTCAAGTCAAGAGTAAATATAAAATATTTCTGCCCCTTCCCCTTTTCTTCTTGCTGACTACTGAAAGGCCTTGGATACTGATCTCAAAGCTCGAGGACAGTAGTACACACACAATGAGTTAGACACAGCGGTTAGCTTCTTCTCAGCCTTTGGTAACAAATGCTGATGAAGTGTCTGCTGAAAGAGTATATCTGGCAAATATGATGCTTAAAAAGAATGTAGCTGGACACAAAGGAAACCTGAATTTACCTACTTCTTCATTTATATACAGGAAGTGATGAGAACCATGGTAAAATGCAAAAACATGATATAATTTCATATGGACTTGCTTAGCTTTGAAAATAAGTAAAAGCTAATTTTAATGAAGTTGTTGCTGATGGCAACTCACTGAAGAGCTGATTTTATGATTTATGAATGCCACTTTTGATAGAACAATAACAACACTTGGAACACACAGCTTTATTATATATTCTGAAGTATGGAGACTTTTCCTCAAAACAGCTAAACATTTCTTTAAAGTCCTTCCCCCAACGTGTGCACTTGCTTATATTTCCAGGATCCAGGTTCTGAAATTCAGATAGTAGGGGGTATTTCATAACATATGAAACCTTGAAAATTGTTGCAAAATAAATCTTACTGAGAAAAAAATAAGTAAAAAAATATGTGCAGTACTTGGACGGAAAGAAGCAAAGATTTTTCTGTATTTAACTAGGGACAAATAAATCACATGCCTAAGCAAATAAATTCCTTTTTCACAACAGGAACCACACAAGTAGTGAGTATGTATACACATATATGTATATGTGTACAGACATATAATTTAAGTTTAAACATGCACTTAAACTTAAATACATATAACACATATAATATGTACATCTAAAAAAGAGACAACAAGTAAGATCATCACAATCAATGCTTTTCTGTAGTTCTTTGAAATTATTCAAATAATTCAAACATTAGAAAACTGAAAGTATAACTGATAAGCTGTGCAATCCAAGGCTATAGCTCAGCCACATCAGAAATAATTTATTCAACTCCATTTCTCTGACCTTGAGTCAAGACAATGTACTAGAGATCCTTACTCTGCCATACAAGAGAATTCACTAATTCAGAGTCTCAACCAACGCTTATTCTACAAAGAATTCTATTCTCTGTAGATCCCAAGTACTCTCAGGGTCTTTATCTGCACCATCTAATGTGGTAGCCACTACCTACACGTAGCTATTGAGCCCCTGAAATATGACTAGACAAATCCTGGATTTTAAAGACTTTAAAAAAGTGAAATATTTCCTTTTTTTAATATTGATAACATGTTGGAATTATAATACTTTAGATATATTGTATTTAATAATACATACTATTTAATTAAATTTCACTTGTTTCTTTTTACTTTTTTTTTTAATGTGGCTCCTAGAAAATTTTACTTTACATACATGGCTTGTATTACATTTCTATTGAACAGTGCTGTCTGTGTCACTCAATCTAGTACTTAGAATCATAGCATTTTTCAAGCAAGTTCAAATCCTTTAAATGGGGAAGCTGTTCTTTATTTAACCCATACAATAATTTTGTGTTGGTCTTATCTTTCCAACTAGATTAGACACTCAGGTGATTAATAAGTTACTTATTAACTGGATTTCATCCATTTGTTCAAAACTACAATCTTAATTTTATCAGAAGAGAAGCTTTATCCTTCATGATCCATGAAACATGTTTGTGTGACAAGGGCGGCAGAATATGCCACCCTAAAATATGCCTCTTTGGCATAAGGATTATTTTGAACTAAAGGCATTTGAAAAATAGCAAATGTAGGGAGAGGCTTCCTCTGAACTCCCTTTATTTGCCTAAAGACAGAGCCTCCAAAAAAAAAAAAAACTCCATTGTTTTAAATTTCCTCCAGGAGCGCTTCATTAACCAGGAAAGACTGACTCATCACAGAAGAGATGAGAAGTTGACACCACTCCCAAACTTTGTTATAAACTATCATAGCCCACATCTACTCTTCTAAGGGCTATTAATCTTTCCTAAAAATCATTTACTGTCCCTTAAGTGGCCTGTATCACGTCTCCCCTTCCCTTATTAAGACGGTATGTAAGCTCTCAAATCTCACCGTGTTTTACGGTATTTATTCACTTTTTTTTCCTGATATTATTGTGCATGTAACATTAAAAAAAATTAATAAATTTGTATACCTTTTCTCCTGTTAATCTGCCTGTTGTCAGTTTATTTCATAAACCCAGGTATCCAGCTTAAGAAGGTAGAGGGAAAGTCCTTCCTTCCCTACACTTTGAAATGTTTAATGAGGAACCCAAGATTCCTCCAATGAAGGTCTTTTACCAACTTCTCAAATTCCTACAGACACACATATAATGAGTCAATATATTTAGAAGAACTGCTCCTTGAGGGCATTTTTTTTTTTGCGGTACGCGGGCCTCTTACTGTTGTGGCCTCTCCTGTTGCGGAGCACAGGCCCCGGACGCGCAGGCTCAGCGGCCATGGCTCACGGGCCCAGCTGCTCAGCGGCATGTGGGATCTTCCCGGACCGGGGCATGAATCCGCGTGCCCTGCATCAGCAGGCGGACTCTCAACCACTGCACCACCAGGGAAGCCCGAGGGCATATTTTTAATCACTAATATTTATCTTATTTTATTCATTAAATCTGATCTTCTAATGGATATTTCTTGATCATTAAACTACAGATGCAAGGTAGCCCTGAATAATCCTTTTAAAGTCAGTGTAATTTTAAAATGTAGTGTAAAAGTATACTCAACTCAGATTCCTTACCTGTACCAAAGAACACAAAAACTAAGAGTGTCTAATTTCTTAATTATCCCAAGATGGGGGCTTCCCTGGAGGCGCAGTGGTTAAGAATCTGCCTGCCAATGCAGGGGACACGGGTTCAAGCCCTGGTCTGGGAAGATCCCACATGCCGCGGAGGAACCAAGCCCGTGCGCCACAACTACTGAGCCTGCGCTCTAGAGCCCACGAGCCACAACTATTAGCCCGAGTGCCACAACTACTGAAGCCCGCGCTCCTAGAGCCTATGCTCCACAACGAGAAGCCACAGCAATGAGAACCCTGCACACCGCAACGAAGAGTGGCCCCCCTTCGCCACAACTAGAGAAAGCCCGCACACAGCAACAAAGACCCAATGCAACCAAAAATAAAAAATAGTAAATAAAATTAATTAATTAAAAGAAAAAAACAGGGGCTTCCCTGGTGGCGCAGTGGTTGAGAGTCCGCCTGCTGATGCAGGGGACACGGGTTTGTGCCCCGGTCCGGGAGGATCCCACATGCCTTGGAGCGGCTGGGCCCGTGAGCCATGGCCGCTGAGCCTGCGCATACGGAGCCTGTGCTCCACAATGGGAGAGGCCACAACAGTGAGAGGCCCGCGTACCGCAAAAACAAACAAACAAAAAAAAAACCAATTATCCCAAGATGGCATGTAACTAGTACCATTCTAGATGTACAGGAGAGAAGTTAATTCATTCCATGCAATAGATGCCTTGAGGTATGAAGGCCCAGTTCTCTAGTGAGGCCTAGTTAAGAAATGACCAGAACCTTGTACTACTTAAATATTAATGATTAAGATTCACAAATGGAAAGTGTTTGTATTCATACAGTTGCATTCTCTGAGCTGTAAAAAGCAATGTTTCCAGGAAAACACTCTCGAAAAAGAACATTAACATTTTGTCTGGCAGACTGTGTAATTATGCTCTGAAAAGACTTCTAAGAGTCATTCAGAAAAACATGGACAACAAGGACTGGGGTCAGTCATGTCTTGAACCCAGACATTCTACTAAACATTATCTTCATACTACTTAGAAAAGTACATTTATGGATTATATCTTATTTCAAAGTTTCAATTCTCAAAATATTATTAAGAAGTCACAGGTATAGTCACATATATCAGAATATTTGGTGATTTATACTTTACCTAAATATATCAAACCAAATCCTCCAGAGCCAATCATCTTGCCCAGCACCCACTGTTTTCCTTCCACATCATCCAGGACCTTGCCTTCTGGAAGTGGAACAGGAAGTCTGTATTTCTCTTTTCTTCTTGGTGGCATCACTTCTGTTGGCAGAAGGGGTGAGATAGTGATTAAAGATAAAAACAACAACTAAGGAAACTCCAGTTAAAATACATTTCTCAAAATGTCTTCTATGGGGCACTTTCCCAGGTTCCCAGAAATTAGGATTCTGAAGTCAACTGGGTTTAGGAAAGCCCACACATTTTATCCAAATTGGAGATTCACCAACATTACAATATTGAAATCTAAGAGGCACTGATGTTAAAAAAACAAACAAACCTGCTGAACCTCACTTAACATTTCCGAAATTCAGTTAGGCAGTCAAAATACCTATTAACAGTGCAGAATACACCTTAAGAAATGAGTTAACAATATCCAATTACAAAGAGAAAATAAATTTCATATATATGAAAATACTCCTTTCACTAAGAATGCTAAGTGTCAAAGATGAGAAGGTCTTCAGTCACTAGGAAAGAAAATACAGCTTTTGACTGGGAAAACATGGACGACGGCAATGTACATCATTACCAAGCCCAGCAACTGACACAGAGTAGGTACTCAGTAAATATCTGTTAAATGAGCAAAGCATTGGGTTTTCATGGATGTATAATTAAGCAGAGCACTAGGCCACTGTGCAGTTTTAGGGCTGGCACATTACTCTTTCAGCTTCTTTCTGTTCCTCTATATCCTGTCCCTTCTCCACCCTCACCAAAGTGAAAACTGCCCTGTCTTAGAGATTAATACAGTACTGCCAACAACAAAAGTATGGACTCCAGGGCTTCCTTGGTGGCGCAGTGGTTGAGAGTCCGCCTGCCGATGCTGGGGACACGGGTTCGTGCCCCAGTCCGGGAAGATCCCACATGCCGCGGAGTGGCTAAGCCCGTGAGCCATGGCCGCTGAGCCTGCGCGTCCGGAGCCTGTGCTCCGCAACGGGAGAGGCCACAGCAGTGAGAGGCCCGCGTACCGCAAACAAAACAAAAAAAGTATGTACTCCATAGTAGAGCCATCCAACTTTACCCAATTAATTATAATTGTACACAGGTTAGTGAAATTCACCAGAGATTTTTGAGTCGGAAGAGAAAATTTCTTCGGAAAAAACACACACAGCATATAGGCCTGAAACTAACTGTGAAAGTAACTGCCATCTTCTAAGTATTTCCAAAGAATTTTTTAAAACTGGTGAGTGCTTTTGAAATGAAAGTAAAGTTTTCATTGTATACGCTATCCATCTTCAGAATGAGAAGGTTTCTGTTCCTTTTAGTAGGTTTTCCCTGCTTCACTTAACTTTAATCAACGCCCTACCTTTTACTCAGCAGCAACACCCCAGGTAGAGCAAAGGAACACAGCAGAAATCTTTAATAATATTCACCTGTCCTCCTCCTAACGCGAACACAAGGGAAGCCAGGAATTTAAATGAACAATGCCCAAAACAGGAAAAGTTTTAACCAGTACTTTATATATACTGACCAGTACTTTATGTACTGAGGCCCAACATTTATTTGCTGATTTAAAACCTAAAGTCTACAGAGAACAACTTTTCAGCAGGGCATAAATTCTCAATCAGTATAAAGAAGACAAACACAGTTTGGGGGCAACTCTGCGGCATCAGAACTTGAGACCTGAAAGGTGACTTACTATACAATGCGTATTCTGGGCATGGATGCGGAGTTCAAGTTCACAGGAGGAAGCGCCAGCCTCCTCTCAAGGCCAGTACCGACACAGACGTCCCTGCTGCTTTGGGGTCCCCTCCCAGGGCTGCGATGAAAAGTGCTCAACACGAGTTTCCACTACCCAGAGACCTGAACCCGAGCCAAGACTGGGCTTGGGGGCGGCCATGGCGGAGGACCGTGAGAGCGGAGGCAGGGGCGGGGCAGCGCGGCCCACCGCCCGCCTGTCCTGCTCGGCGGCCCAAGACACCCCCCACGCCCGGCCGGCCCGAACCACCCGAAGCTCGCCGGCGTCTGGAGACTCACTTCCCGACTCAAGCTCCCTCTAGACCGACAAAAAGAGAAACCCAATCTCCTTCCCCGCCTCACTCCTCCGCCCCGCCTCTGGGCGAACGGGAGTTGAAGGGGAGCGAGGTTCACGCACTGAGTTAGAAAAAAGTCAGGACCAACCGCGAAAGCAGGGACCGCTGCGCGTCCGGGGCTGAGGCGCGGCCCGGAGGCCCCGTCGTCTCTCTCCGACCGCAGCTCCACCCCGGGCTGGGGCGCCACGCGGGCCGGGCAGGCGGAGAGCGGGGCGCGGAAGTATGGCGTTCCGACGCGACCCCCAGGACCCGGGGACGAGAGGAGGTTAACCAGGCCCTCCGCGTCCCCGCCGCCAGACCGGGAAACGCCTCCCGCCGGCCTAGCAGGGCCGGGCGGGGCCGCGGGCCTCCAATCCCGCGGGGAGGCGGGCCCGGAGCCGGCTCGGCCCGCGGAAGGGGCCAAACTAACTTCTTGCACCTGGGCCCGCGGCGTTGCGCGCGCCCGACACAGCTCGCTCTGGGCGGAGACTGCGGCCCCGGGCCCACGGAACCTCGCCTAGGCCGCGGCCAGCGTTCTCTTTAAGGCGGCCTGTAAGCGCTGGGGGACGCAGAGACAAAGAGGCGGCGGCGGGTCTACACCATCAGATCAGTTTGGTGTGCATTTGTGTAGAAGGAATTTCAGGCCTCTTGTACCATGATCTCGGTACCAAGAGTTTCCGAGTCAACAGGCCGGTCCTTACTGAGCATTACCCGGGCAGCCAGTCACACTGGCCAGGCCTCTAGAGCAAGAAGCCTGTGTGAGCAGGAAGGCCTGTAACACAGCGTTTAAGTTCTCAGAGGCATATTGGCTCAAGATCCATTTACTAGTTGGATAATCTTGACTAAACGTAATTACTTTACAAAACTTTCATTTTTTTTTTTTTTTTTTTGATCTGTGAAATGGAAATAACTCTAGTTATTCAGGTTAAGAAGGTTTGTTAAAGAAAAAATTATTCCGACATTTCTTAAAATGGTAAGGAAGACTATTCAAAACTCTTGAAATAGCAGAAAGAGCTATGCTAAATTCCAAATACAGCAAAGAAAAGCGGGAATTTATAGCCGAGGACCTGGGTGGGGGTCAGTGGATGGAAAATTACTAAGAGGAAATATCAGGGGAGAGGAGAGGATTCTGGTTAGATGGTGCTAACAGAATTCTTGCTGAAGACAGGCCAAGGTGATCAGACATCACGGGGGGGTGGTGGAGGATGAGGAACTGGATTAGATATGGAGAATGGAGAGATTCTGGCTAAACTTAGCAGGATGTTTGCTAAAATTGGACAGTATAGAGAGAACATGGAAGTCCAAAAGTCAAGGCCTATTTGAGGAAGAGTTCAGGGGGGTCTAAGTAGAGTTTGGTCAAGAAGCCTAAGTAGAGTTTGTCAGGTTATTGGTTATAAGATTGTGATGATAATTAAGTGAAAGACATAAGTAGTTTTCTAACATATAATAAGGACTCATAGTTAGCTTATAATATTTTAGGTTAGGCAAAACAAATGCTCAGAAAGCAATTCTTAAACAATACATCAACATCTTATGTGGGAAGTCAGTAATTGCTTGGGATGTAAATACTGGAAGTCAAAATCCTTTAATGACTTTGATGGAATAGGGTTTTAATACTTCCTACATCTATCAAACTGGCACCAAATGAAAGATGGCATGAGAAGACACTTTTTAAAAATCTCTCATGTGGATAAAAAAGCATTTTTAAAGAAACTCAATAGTCTATACATAGAATAATCATGCCCTTTAAGATAGTCACTCACTAATCTAACAACATCCATTCTTATTTCTATAAGATATATACGTAACAGATGCTGTTGTTTGCCTGCCCAAACGTTTATATGGGCATTAAATGTGCCATTCCAAATTGGTTCAAGTTTCTACCCAGTCCCCAGGTTACTATCTTTGGGAAGATGCAACAACAGCACCAGGCACAACAGATTACTCTTAAGGGGTCATACATGGCTCCTCTGTTTCATACCTATATATACCTAGTATGTTAGTATCATAGCCCTTTCCCACTGCTATAATAGCATACCACAGACTAGGTGGTTTATAAACAACAGAGATGTATTCCTCACAGTCCTGAGTCTGGCCAAGTTCATGACTCAGTCACATCCCGAAGGCTCCTGCCTCCAAATACCATCACCTTGGGGATTACGTTTCAACATACAAATTTTAGGAGGACACAAACATTTAGTTCATAGCAGTTCGTAAATCCTGTTAGCTCAGCCTTCAAAATATATCCAGAATCCATCACTTCCTACCACTCCTACTTCTATCTTTCTGGTCCAAACCACCATGTCTTTCCTGGATACTGGTAGTACCGTCCTAAAAGCTATCGTATTTCTAAACCTTCTACCCCTTCAGTCTATTCACAACAAACAACCGCATGATCTTTTTAAAAGCTTTAGATCATTTCTCTGCTCAAAAACTCTTCAGTGACATTCTAATGCAGTCATTGTCAGCCAGTCCTCACTATGACCTAAAACAGTGTTTTTCAACCTTGGTACTACTGACATTTGGGCCAGATAATTCCTTGTTGACAAAGGGGAGGATAGTCAAAAGTGGATTCTCCTGTGCATTATAGGTCATTTATCAACACCCTGGGCCTCTGTAGTACTACAGGTTGTGACAACCAAAAATGTCCCCCAGACATCACCAAAATTTGTAAATTTTGCCAAAATTGCTGCTGGTTGAGAATGACTTACCTACAATGATCTACATGTTTCTGTACCTCCCCCATTTCCTGTTACTTTCTGCAACCACTGCGGCCTCCTTGCTGTTCTCAGGACTATTGCACTTTTCATTCTGTCCAGACCACTCTTCAATCTGATATCTGTATGGCCTACTTTATCACCTTCTTCAGGTCTCCTATGCAAAAGTCAACTCCGTGAGCCCTTTCCTAACTATCCTATCTAAACTTTCAACCTACCCACAATACTTCATAGCCCCTTTTCCTTTTTCCCTCTCAGTGCTTAATACTGTACAACAACATATTATACCGGTTACTTATTTATTTTGAAAATAGGCAAATAGTATTCTTCAGTAAGTTGTATGCTCCATAAAAGCAGGCAACAATTTTTACTCTTCTCATCGCTACTGTACTCCTAGCCCCTAGAATGCATATAGAAAACATGTCATTTTCTTGTTAAAAGAATAAATGAATAATGGTGGTCCCATTCCCCTTTCCACTGATTGATTTAGACAGGAAGCATGTATGAAGTGTAGGTAATAAAAGATGAATAAAAGTTTCCTGTACACTTCTATGAAGAGATGGTCTCTCCTGCATGTCATTCCAAATGTGATGCCTGGAATTTTTGCAGTCATCTGTGACCATGAGTATAGAACAAAGTACAAATCTAACACACTAGAAATTGCAGAACATTCAACAAATGAGGTTAGAACACTTGGAACATCTATCTATCATCTATCTATCTATCACATCTATTATAGAAAGAAAGAAAGAGAGGAAAAAAGAAAAGAACCTCAACCCTTAATTTATACCCCACATAAAAATTAACTTGAAATTGATCATACACCTAAATCTAAATACAAGAGTTAAAACTATAAAACTTTTGGAAGAAAACCTGGGAGAAAGATTTTATGATCTTGGATTTGGTAAATCTTTGTAATCTTTGAATTTGTGTGATTAGAATGTACCCCGGGGTGGGGGGGGGGAAGCTGAAAACCTAAATGAAGAAACTGATAAATTAGCTTAATAAAAATTAAAAATTTTGCTCTTCACAAAGCACTAAGATACCCAGTTTTAGTAAGTATGTGGAGTAACTGGAACTCTCTTACACTGGTAGTAGGGATTCAAAATAGTACAGGTATTTTGGAAAACAGTTAATCAGTTTTTTGTAATGTTAAACATATAGTTAGCGTATGACCTAGCATTCATGTTCCTAAGTATTTACTCAAGACAAACGTAAACCTCTATCTACACAACGACTTGTATGTGAACATTTATAACAACTTCCTATGTAATAGTCAACAACTGGAAACAACTCAAATTCCCATCAACTAGTGAATGGGTATACAGATTGTGGTATGCAATATATCTCCTACACAATGGACTGTCACTCAGCAGTAAAAAGGAACAAACTATTGATATAAGCAGCAACCTGGATGGATCTCAAAAACATGATGCTTTGTGAAGGAGAGAAGATGCAAAAGAGTACATGCTGTATAATTCCATTGAAATTGGCAGGGCCTAGGTTGGGAGGATGGGATTGACTGCAAAGGGGCTAACAGAACTTTTTGGAATGATAGAGGTGTTTAATTTCTTGATTGTGGTAGTGATTATATGATTATACATTTGTCAAAATTCATTTACTTGTACACTTAAAATTCATGACTTTTTTTGTAAGTTATGCTTCAATAAAACTGACTTAAAAGAAAAGAATGACTGAAGAGAAAGATAGGAAGAACCTGAGTCCTTGAGACCATTATTACTCATTCAGCTAACCTTGAAGCCACCATACCTTTCATATTCATGCATGAAGTATCAAGTACCCTTGTTGTTTAAGCCACTTAACATTGGTTTTTATGTTTCTCATAGCCAAAACCTTCCTAACAGATAAAATAGAGTTTCAAGCGCTAATGAAATTTAAATGTTAATAAATTTGTACTAAATAAAAATGAGAACAGAAGTGCAGGTGAACCTGTATTGAGAAGATGAGGGGTTTTTTAAGTGTTAGGATTTAATGCAGAATTTTATAATTCCGAGCATATTGCTGTGTGTATGTTTCAAGATGAAAACTGACAGAATATAGAAATACAAATTTTGGAACTAGTGAAAGAACATCTTCTGAATGAACATGATGAGAAACAAGAAAGAAAAAAGAATCTAGGCATGAAAGCACTGAAGTATGAGTCATCAGAAGAAAAAAAATAGGAAAACAAGGTTTTCAGACAACACTATTTTGATAGATCTCACAGACTATGAATGATTCACCACAAACACACACAAACAAAAGGACTTTCTTGGAGGTGTTCCAACTTGTAGGTATGGCATGGG